GGCTTTCTCTCAAACTTCTCTATTTCCATTTTCTTAAAAGAAGCCAGGGCCTTCTTTTTCTCAAAAGTGGATTCATCCGTTTTAGCTTTCAGTCTGATCTCACAAGGATTGTCCCAGTTGTTGCTGTGAAATTTCTCATTGACCTCTGACTCGTTACAGAACTGTGCTTTCACTTTCCCTTTACAATCAATGTTATCACAGGCCAGAAGTCTACAATATCAAAAGTATCAAATACATATAGTTCTTAATTTAATGTTATTGTTTATGCTTTGACTTAGCTGGTACAGTGAAACTCACTTATATCTATAACGAAGTCACAGGGAGCAATGAAATATCTTTGCTATATCAGTAATTCATTATATCCATATAAGGCAGTCATTCAATTTACATAGCTAGAGATACAAGGTAACTTTGCTATATCCATGAATTCACAATATTCACAGTATTCGTACTAAATGCATTTTACTGTATTATAAATGAATTTCACTTAAACAAACTGCTAGAGTCTGAAAATAAGGTTTCCAGTCAGATTAACAAACCAACATGCAAATACCTTAGACCTGTCACCATAATTTGATATATTTAGACAGCTTACCTTACAGAGCCGTAGAACTTGGGACATCTAAACTTCTGATTGGCTGTCTCCTCTCCCCCTTCCTCTGCCTCTTTATTCCTCTTTTTAGAGCCAAGTTCCACCTTAATGATGTGCTTCTGTTGTTCCGTCACAACAAAGGAACTATCAAAAGAGAATCAGATAAAAATATTACATTTGTACATCACACCTGCATTACATACATGTAACTGATGTGTAGAAATACAGAAATGTAGAATTCTTTATAATTAACAATCTCACCTCTGCAGAAGCCTTTCAAAGCATTTTTTGAGAGTACCGCCAATGCTGTGGGTGACATCAGTTGCTGCTAACAATTCAAGCTTTGGCAAAGCGTATTGTAAAATATCATAAAGGATCTGTCCCAGCCAAGAATACCTGAAAAAAAAATAGGTTTTTTTAATTAAAATGTATCAAAAACTTAGATGTAGATGTAAACAAGATGTGTTTGTGAAACACTATGCGCCCTGTGGCAACAAAGTTCTAAAATGCAATTTTTAGCAAATAGGACACAGTCAAGGTCACACGATCATTGTCCTTGGTGTCATTTGAAAGCAATTAATTAGTGGAGTAGGCATACCAAATATGAAGTCTCTATCTCCTATGGTTCAAAGGTTATGGCGAAAGTTCGAAAAAGCTATTTTAGCATATAGGTCACAGTCTAGGTCACAAGGTCATTGACCTTGGTGTCAATTGAAAGTGCTTAATTAGTGGAGTGTGCATACCAAATATGAAGTCTCTATCTTCCACGCTTCAAAAGTTATGTTGAAGGTTAAAATTGACAACAGACAGACAAACAGCTAAACAGACAAACAGACAGACAGGACAAAAACAATATACACCCCGAATAAATTTGGGCACATAAAAAGGGTAGTCATTCATTATTCAATTATTGTATTATTGATTTTAAAATACATGTTCCAGCAAACATTGTTTGCTTTAATTTACATACTGTATGATTGTGAACATGTATTTATTATTTGGCCATCACCTAAATATAATGTAATACAAGTACCACCCTTTTCTTCAGTGACTTATAAAACAAAGATCAAACACCATATACATATATGTTTATGTAAGACATATACAGGTGAATCTTAGTAATTTGTAGTCTGCTGTAGCATGAAAAAATTTCAAGATCAAGAACTTCAAAATATTGAAGTCTAATCCATCAAAAGTCAACAGTACATAACTATTACATGTATTTGCCATTTGAGAGTGACATAATGACATACCCCCTTTCCACTTCAGTAGGAATTGGTGGTCTGTGGTCCACCAGGTCAACATAGAACAACTGCAGCTGTTTCTTAAAATCGGACATCTTCCTGGTGAGAATGTTCTCTGCTTCTAGGGACTTTGTCTCAATTTCTTGCAGGTTATTGGTTATATCCTGATGGAGTACCTGAAAAGTTACACATAATGCTATCAAAATTCACATACATGTACAACAAACTAATACAAAACATGATCAGTAAATGAAGTATGCTACTCTGTGTATGATTTATGAGGTTGGTTTTAATCCCTCTTGTGGCCTTATCTTAGCCAGTGGAGTCATTGTTTTAAAAAGGTACAACTTAAAATACTATGTACATGTAAAACTGCGATATTAGATGGAGATAACCCAAACACTTCACAGAATATCATAACATCCAGTACGGACTGTACAGTAATAGTTAATATTATACAGCTAATAAATACACAGAATATCATAACATCCAGTACGGACTGTACAGTAATAGTTAATAATATATAGCTAATAAATACACAGAATATCATAACATCCAGTACGGACTGTACAGTAATAGTTAATATTATACAGCTAATAAATACACAGAATATCATAACATCCAGTACGGACTGTACAGTAATAGTTAATATTATACAGCTAATAAATACACAGAATATCATAACATCCAGTACGGACTGTACAGTAATAGTTAATATTATACAGCTAATAAATACACAGAATATCATAACATCCAGTACGGACTGTACAGTAATAGTTAATATTATACAGCTAATAAATACACAGAATATCATAACATCCAGTACGGACTGTACAGTAATAGTTAATAATATACAGCTAATAAATACACAGAATATCATAACATCCAGTATGGACTGTACAGTAATAGTTAATATTATACAGCTAATAAATACACAGAATATCATAACATCCAGTACGGACTGTACAGTAATAGTTAATATTATACAGCTAATAAATACACAGAATATCATAACATCCAGTACGGACTGTACAGTAATAGTTAATATTATACAGCTAATAAATACACAGAATATCATAACATCCAGTACGGACTGTACAGTAATAGTTAATATTATACAGCTAATAAATACACAGAATATCATAACATCCAGTACGGACTGTACAGTAATAGTTAATATTATACAGCTAATAAATACACAGAATATCATAACATCCAGTACGGACTGTACAGTAATAGTTAATATTATACAGCTAATAAATACACAGAATATCATAACATCCAGTACGGACTGTACAGTAATAGTTAATAATATACAGCTAATAAATACACAGAATATCATAACATCCAGTATGGACTGTACAGTAATAGTTAATAATATACAGCTAATAAATACACAGAATATCATAACATCCAGTACGGACTGTACAGTAATAGTTAATATTATACAGCTAATAAATACACAGAATATCATAACATCCAGTACGGACTGTACAGTAATAGTTAATATTATACAGCTAATAAATACACAGAATATCATAACATCCAGTACGGACTGTACAGTAATAGTTAATATTATACAGCTAATAAATACACAGAATATCATAACATCCAGTACGGACTGTACAGTAATAGTTAATAATATACAGCTAATAAATACACAGAATATCATAACATCCAGTACGGACTGTACAGTAATAGTTAATATTATACAGCTAATAAATACACAGAATATCATAACATCCAGTACGGACTGTACAGTAATAGTTAATATTATACAGCTAATAAATACACAGAATATCATAACATCCAGTACGGACTGTACAGTAATAGTTAATATTATACAGCTAATAAATACACAGAATATCATAACATCCAGTACGGACTGTACAGTAATAGTTAATATTATACAGCTAATAAATACACAGAATATCATAACATCCAGTACGGACTGTACAGTAATAGTTAATATTATACAGCTAATAAATACACAGAATATCATAACATCCAGTACGGACTGTACAGTAATAGTTAATATTATACAGCTAATAAATACACAGAATATCATAACATCCAGTACGGACTGTACAGTAATAGTTAATATTATACAGCTAATAAATACACAGAATATCATAACATCCAGTACGGACTGTACAGTAATAGTTAATAATATACAGCTAATAAATACACAGAATATCATAACATCCAGTATGGACTGTACAGTAATAGTTAATATTATACAGCTAATAAATACACAGAATATCATAACATCCAGTACGGACTGTACAGTAATAGTTAATATTATACAGCTAATAAATACACAGAATATCATAACATCCAGTACGGACTGTACAGTAATAGTTAATATTATACAGCTAATAAATACACAGAATATCATAACATCCAGTACGGACTGTACAGTAATAGTTAATATTATACAGCTAATAAATACACAGAATATCATAACATCCAGTACGGACTGTACAGTAATAGTTAATATTATACAGCTAATAAATACACAGAATATCATAACATCCAGTACGGACTGTACAGTAATAGTTAATATTATACAGCTAATAAATACACAGAATATCATAACATCCAGTACGGACTGTACAGTAATAGTTAATATTATACAGCTAATAAATACACAGAATATCATAACATCCAGTACGGACTGTACAGTAATAGTTAATATTATACAGCTAATAAATACACAGAATATCATAACATCCAGTACGGACTGTACAGTAATAGTTAATATTATACAGCTAATAAATACACAGAATATCATAACATCCAGTACGGACTGTACAGTAATAGTTAATATTATACAGCTAATAAATACACAGAATATCATAACATCCAGTACGGACTGTACAGTAATAGTTAATATTATACAGCTAATAAATACACAGAATATCATAACATCCAGTACGGACTGTACAGTAATAGTTAATAATATACAGCTAATAAATACACAGAATATCATAACATCCAGTATGGACTGTACAGTAATAGTTAATAATATACAGCTAATAAATACACAGAATATCATAACATCCAGTACGGACTGTACAGTAATAGTTAATATTATACAGCTAATAAATACACAGAATATCATAACATCCAGTACGGACTGTACAGTAATAGTTAATAATATATAGCTAATAAATAGTCTCTAATAAAATACTACTAAAAATCTGGAGAATTATAGCGTTTTATATCTTGGTATTTTATTGAATGCTGAGTTTGCATTACATATATGAGTGTGCCTGAAACATTCCAAATACAAGCGTTCAATATTGAATGCCCCATTGTAAACAACAAATGTCGTCTGGTCAAATTCTCCGTTATATTAAAGAAAGGAAGTGGCATCTAGGTAAGATGTGTTTATTTTTACACAAAAATGAAATTATTATAAAAAATTTAGTAGGTATTAGACCCATTGAAACCTAAATAAGCAAATCATAACACTCGCTAGGGTCATTCGAATGAGACGTTATTGAACACTTACAGGACAGGCGTCAATTCAAATACCGATACTAAAAAATCATGAATTCGAGTTTTTTTAGTTGGAATAATTATTATAAATTATGAGGAAATATTTTAGCTATATAATATAGAGTTATTGAACTTATATTGGTGAATATTGGCACTCGTTGGGACGAGCTTGTGAGTGCATTTGTACAGCCAATTTGTGCCAGCATTCACTAAAGTAAGTTCAATAACCCTATAATATAAAATACTTGTACGAGGGGTGATCAAAAAGTTTGCGAACTATCTTTATATCTACAAAACCACAATTCAGATTAGAATGAAATTTGGTACACACATAACCATACACAAGTTCCAGTTCTATAAAAAGTCTATGCTGAATAAAGTTTTTCGCCTTGTTTGTGATGTCACAATGTGAAAATGACGTCACTATATAGGTCACTTGTGATGAAAAATGGTTGTCTCAGTCGTACTCGTTCAACAAATGACTGTAAAATTTATGGTGGATTTTAGAAATCCCTTTGAAGTAGTAATTTGTACACAGTTTATTAAGACAAATGACTTCCTATAAATTTAAACAATGATTGGATTGATCGTTTTAGTGAAGGAAGGCAGATGGTTAAAAATGATACATGTCATGTTGCTCAGTGAAAGCAAGTTTGAAAAGATATGTGTTTTTGATTAAGCAATTTGCTATCAAAGATCTTAAATTAACACTTTGAAAAATAGTTGAATATTTGAACAATAATATAATTATTAAATACCTAAAATATCGTTTACTTTAGATTTTAAACCTATTAGATATGATAACCAGAAGTCTCTGTCGAGACTGAAGCTCTACTGGTTTGAACTTATAGCAAAGGAAGAGAAAAGTACTTAAGCAGCTGGGATTTGAAACTTTACAACAGCAATAAATAGAATAATGATCGCTGATAAAGTCTCTTTATGTTTTTAGTGTATTCTACTTGTGTGCCAAGTTATACTGAAATCAGACCAAAACTGCAGGAGGAGTAGCATTTTGAAACAATTTTACAGACATTTCTATTTTTAGTAACCACGGCAACACCGTTCATCAAAATTAAAATTTGATAGAAAGAATTATGTATCTTAGTGTAGTGTAGTCTACTTGTGTGCCAAGTTATATTGAAATCAGACCAAAACTGTAGGAGGAGTAGCATTTTGAAACAATTTTACAGAAATTTCTATTTTTAGTAACCACGGCAACACCGTTCATCAAAATCAAAAACCGCTTAAAGAATTATGTATGTTAGTGTAGTCTACTTGTGTGCCAAGTTATACTGAAATCAGACCAAAACTGTAGGAGGAGTAGCATTTTGAAAGAATTTCACAGAAATTTCTATTTTTAGTAACCACGGCAAAACCATTCATCGAAATCAAAACCGATATACAGAATTATGTATATTAGTGTATTCTACTTGTGTGCCAAGTTATACTGAAATCAGACCAAAACTGTAGGAGGAGTAGCATTTTGAAAGAATTTCACAGAAATTTCTATTTTTAGTAACCACGGCAACACTGTTCATCGAAATCAAAAACCGATACACAGAATTATGTATTTTAGTGTAGTCTACTTGTGTGCCAAGTTATACTGAAATCAGACCAAAACTGTAGGAGGAGTAGCATTTTGAAAGAATTTCACAGAAATTTCTATTTTTAGTAACCACGGCAACACTGTTCATCGAAATCAAAAACCGATAAACAGAATTATGTATCTTAGTGTATTCTACTTGTGTGCCAAGTTATACTGAAATCAGACCAAAACTGTAGGAGGAGTAGCATTTTGAAAGCATTTCACAGAAATTTCTATTTTTAGTAACCATGGCAACACCGTTCATCTAAATCAAAAATCGATGCACAGAATTATGTATCTTAGTATAGTCTACTTGTTGCCAAGTTATACTGAAATCAGACCAAAACTGTATGAGGAGTAGCATTTTGAAAGAATTTCACAGAAATTTCTATTTTTAGTAAGCACGGCAACACCATTCATCGAAATCAAAAACCAATAAATAGAATTATGTATCTTAGTGTAGTCTACTTGTGTGCCAAGTTATACTGAAATCAGACCAAAACTGTAAGAGGAGTAGCATTTTGAAAGAATTTCACAGAAATTTCTATTTTTAGTAACCACGGCAACACCGTTCATCAAAATCAAAAACCGATACACAGAATTATGTATTTTAGTGTAGTCTACTTGTGTGCCAAGTTATACTGAAATATTTACATTTGCAAATGTTTTCCTTTATATAACACTACTGAAAGGAATGCGTATCTATAACTGTATAAATACAGGTATGGGGTCAAGAGGTCATAGATGTGCGTTTGGATAATCGTTTGACGTAATTTCTCAGTGACGTCATAAAGGGTCGACGCGCGTTCAGTGAATTACATACATGCTGTTGGGTTTGAAAAATAATGCATTTCACACGTTAAAAGTCACAATTATGCAAATATAAAGTATGAATTAGTCACAAATGTAAATATAAGTAATAAGGTATCATTTTAAAACATCTATCGGGCTATAAATACGGGTCGGTACGAGATTAAATTCATCATAAAGCCCTTCGGGCTTTATGGAATTTAATCTCGTGACCGACCCGTATTTATATCCCGATAGATGTTTAAAAATGATACCTTATTTCTTAAATCAGACCAAAACTGTAGGAGGAGTAGCATTTTGAAAGAATTTCACAGAAATTTCTATTTTTAGTAACCACGGCAACACCGTTTATTGAAATCAAAAACCGATATATAGAATTATGTATCTTAGTGTATTCTACTTGTGTGCCAAGTTATACTGAAATCAGACCAAAACTGTAGGAGGAGTAGCATTTTGAAAGAATTTCACAGAAATTTCTATTTTTAGTAACCACGGCAACACCGTTTATCGAAATCAAAAACCGCTATATAGAATTATGTATCTTAGTGTAGTCTACTTGTGTGCCAAGTTATACTGAAATCAGACCAAAACTGTAGGAGGAGTAGCATTTTGAAAGAATTTCACAGAAATTTCTATTTTTAGTAACCACGGCAACACCGTTCATCAAAATCAAAAACCGATAAACAGAATTATGCATCTTAGTATAGTCTACTTGTGTGCCAAGATATATTGAAATTAGACCAAAACTGTAGGAGAAGTAGCATTTTGAAAAATTGTTTACAGACAGACGGACAGACAGACAGACAGACGGACAGACGGACGGACGCCGGACGCATTACTATCGCATAAGCTCTTCTGGTCTCTGACCAGTAGAGCTAAAAAGGAGGCAACCATTCTCTATCTACCTTGAATAAACATCTCTCCCGAGGCAGAAGATTTTTGTTGTAATGGTCGCCAGGCTTATTTTTGGAAAGGATATTCTTATCTACCCATTCTATTCCCGAGATTTGACCATTTCTGACAAATGAACTGTTCTTGTTGTGAAAATTAACTTACATGAAAAGAAAAATAACACTCAGAAAAAAATCTTTCAGCTTTTGTGACAGAACGCTATGGAGGGGGTCACATGACCGCCAATATCACGTGATTCGCACATGCGCAGAACGGTGGCTGATGTGCATTAGAATCGGAGAGGACTAATTTAAAATATAATCAACACTGAAACCAAATATGATTTCTTTTATGGAAGTTATTCAATTAGTTCGCGAACTTTTTGATCACCGGATTCACCCCTCGTATTAATACATAATTCGACAATTTTCATATCAAATGTAATTTTCAATGACAGAGTAATAACAAAAACAACTTATTACTGCTCTATTGTTGTTTTAATATTTTTAGTATATTCTTGAAGTCCATGTCAGTTAAATTTTGCTGAAGATTATGATTTTAAACTTAGTAGATTAAAATCAAAAGGAAATTTACACTAAGATGATATGACATACTGAACTGAACTGAACTGAAATACAGGAAACACAATCTAACGAAAATTATATATCTCTTTGGTGAACGAGAAAAGACTGTGTATATCCCTGATTTCTACAGGAAATAACTGTTATCAGTACTTCACAGCCTAAAGAGTTCTCCACTTTAATTGATTTACCCTGGCCCTTATCAGGAAACATCACATGAGCACTTACTGCAAACATCTGTAGTTTTTTCTGATGTGCCTCATACTGTTTTCTTTGCTGGTCAGTTGCAGCATTCAGGCCATTGAATCCTACTCCTGTTAACTGTTCAAAGCCTGAAAAATGAAAACATGGATGAACAGGTGCTTGTTTTACATAAATATGGAGGTAGATACAACAATGTTTGTCAATATCATCAATACAGGTTTACTGACTGGATTATTTCTTTGCAACTAGGTTATTTAATTACCTGCTTGGGCATTCAAGGTATCTTCTAGGGATTCCAACTTGTCAATGCAAGTACTTAGATTCTGGAAAATAAATAAAGTACTTTAGGCCAGATAAAATTAATCTTTAGATTCTCATCCCTGCCCGCCCCTCTCAAAGTGTCCCACCCTGGTGTTTTTATTTTGAGTTTTGGGTGTTAAAAGTATTTTCATGTATTTTTATTCAGCAAGAATTTGGGTCAAAGTTAAAGAGTTATCTCCCGTCTGTATTAAAAGTCGCGTGTCACTATTTATAGCAAATTAAAAGAGCCATGTGAAGAATGGCGAACAATTGGCAATAAAAGTAGTTTAAATGTGTAAGGAAAAGATAATTTGTCTGTGTAGAGAAGGCAGAGAAGAACAAGAGGCCCATGGGCCACATCGCTCACCTGAGCTCTATGGCTAGGAAAAAGTAGAAATTGGTTTATTATTGAAAAGTTTAAATCCAAAAGTAGTCCCATGACCAATCATGGCTTTGCTATTCTTGAGATGATTTTTAAAGAATTTTCCTATATATGTCTATGTAAAACTTTGATCAGCCATTGTGGTCCCGCCCTACCCCCTGGGGTCATGATTTGAACAAACTTGAATCTACGCTACCTGAGAACGCTTCATTATAAATAAGATCAATTATAGCTTTCAATTCTTTCGTCGGCCATTGTGGCCCCGCCCTAGCCCCTGGGGTCATGATTTGAACAAATTTGAATCTACACTATCTGAAGATGATTCCATAATAATATGATCAATTAAGCCTTTGCTATTCTTGAGAAGAAGATTTTTAAAGAATTTTCCTATATATTTCTATGTAAAACTTTGGTCGGCCATTGTGGCCCCCGCCCTACCCCCGGGGGTAATGATTGAACAAACTTGAATCTACACTACCTGAGGATGCTTCCATATTAATATGATCAATTATGCCTTTGCTATTCTTGAGAAGAAGATTTTTAAAGAATTTTCCTATATATTTCTATGTAAAACTTTGGTCGGCCATTTTTGCCCCCGCCCTACCCCCAACGGTAATGATTTGAACAAACTTGAATCTACACTACCTGAGGATACTTCTATATAAATATGATCAATTATGGCTTTGTTGTTCTTGAGAAGAAGATTTTAAAAGAATTTTCCTATATATTTCTATGTAAAATTTTGGTCAGCCATTGTGGCCCCGCCCTACCCCCGGGGGTCATGATTTGAACAAATTTGAATCTACACTACCTGAGGATGTTTCCTCATAAGTTTCATCTTTCCTGGCACAGTGGTTCGTGAGAAGAAGATTTTTAAAACATGCCACCAAATTTTCATTAATTCCCAATTATCTCCCCTTGAATGAGGGCGTGGCCCTTCATTTGAACAAACTTGAATCCCCTTTACCCAAGAATGCTTTGTGGCAAGTTTGGTTGAAATTGGCCCTGCGGTTCTTGAGAAGAAGTCGAAAATTTGAAAAGTTTACAGACGGACAGACAGACAGACGACGGACAAAATGTGATTAGAAAAGCTCACTTGAGCCTTCGGCTCAGGTGAGCTAAAAATAGCATAAACATATCTAGATACTGTCACTGGCATGCGCAAATTTTTAGAGAGATTTTAACTAAGTAAAAAAAGAAGAGGAAAATGACACCTGGTCAAGTTTTAATGATCTCCAGCTGTGTGTGATTTTTCTTTGAAAAAATAATAAAACACCGTAGGCAGACTTTAGAGAATGTTAAATACTAAGAAAATGTTAAATCTTAAAACTGTCCAGGCCTAGGTTTTCAGTAGAATATTTTATTAAATATATATGTATATTGTATAGATTTTGCAAATATGACCTATTTTAATGTCGAACATGTCAAGCCTCAAGAACGATCAATTTTTTGAAGAAGTTGGAATCCTATAATATTTTACAGAAAACAGAGGGACTTGTGGGTAAAACTAAAAAGTATTTGGGGAAGTCATGCATACACAATTTATTGGTATCCCCACCTCATTTTGTTTGGCGTGTGCCGTATTTGTGTACATGAGTCCATATTTTGTTGATACTTACAATTTGATTAACAATTATAAAAAATAAAATCTGCCCACCCGCCCCAAATTTTAAGCAAATTAGTATGAGAATCTAAAGATTAATTTTATCTGGCCTTATAACTGATGAGGTTTCTAACAAAAACAAAAACTGAAAACTAGAAACATAATGCTCATATTAGTAACTATGCTCAAACCGATCATGCAAATAAATGAAATTCCCCGCGGATAAAATGTCAAAATTTTGAGTTTGTTGTATATTGAGGCTCAATGTCAACATTATATTTTGAAACCTTTATATTCTTTTTGGATGTTGGCATATTTCTGTTTTTTTTAAAAAAAACTTTTCCACATCTATGGTCCAACATATGTCCTTAGGTGAGTTAGGCTTTGCACAAACATGAAGATGTTACCATATTCGTGCAATAAATAACTGAAGCCCCAACCTCTTCACAAGATTTCCAATACCCAGTAGCTAGGTGATACATTGATATAAAAAACTTAATTTGGCCCACTTTCTTCAAAAGAAGCTTTTTATAGTTTCCCTCTACATATAACAATTTAATCTAACTGTTGTCCTTTTCTTCTTGAGAAAACAACTTATGAATATCTCTTCACACCTCTTATTTAACTACAAGTATTTAAAAAAATCTACCCTCTCTTGTGACCCTAGCTCTGGGTATCAAATTTATATCAACGCTGTCTCAATGGTAATATTGAGAATTTTTAAGTCACCTTGCTCCATTTATCTACCCTTGAAAAGGATATGACTCTTCAATAATTTTTGAATCCCTTTTACCCAAGGATGCTCTTTGACAAACAGTCAAGTGGTTCTACAGAAGTGTATCAACTTTACAGACAAGACAGACTGACAGATGGACAACAGAGATCCAAAACACTCATTTGTGCTTACAGGTGAACTGTTAAATTTGATACTGTATTCAGGGTTATTTCCACCCCATTTTATCTTCGTCCTTTCATACTTTGCCCCGTTTAAATTTGCCCAGTCACTAGCTATAGTCTGTTTAAGAAATCATACTTTGTTCTTTGAATTTCCCCTGTTTTAAATGTGCCCACCTGTGACTGCTGTGAGTAGGACGAAAGGGGTGAAAATAAAACGGGAGCGAAAATTTCCCTGTATACAGTTTTAACAGGCATATTGTAAATTCCTAATTGTGCAAGACAATCATGAAATCAAAGTCCTCTTAAGTAATACAAAAGATAAATTATGGAAAAGAAATATTAAAACTAGGTGTAAATTGTCAGACAATGGCCTCTGCTTACCTTGCTGCACTGATCCAGGTATCTGATGATCTGGTCTTGGTCATCATAACAAACCTCCATAGCTTTTGCCTATAAAAATACATGTACCCAGAATATTAATTATATAATTATACAAAGCTTTGAGTCATGAGCTTAAGTTTGCAATACAGTTTAAATATTTTTTGCACAAGTTCTACCATATTAGTTCGATTTTCATTTTATACAAAGTTTTGTGATGAGCCCTGTTGGATATATTACCTCTACAGCCACAAACTGTTTCAGCAGCCGCTGCTCCTCTACCAGAAATCGACACATACTGCAGATGAAGGGCTTAGGGTTTCTTTCATAAATGTTCTACAAGTTAATGTCAGTAATCACTAATCAGTCAAAAAATTACAAAGCTATTCTGGTTTATAAACTTAATATTATGCAGTATGAAAAAATTAATAAAATGTCTGAAACATCAGGTGAAACCATATACCTGGTAATTTATTTTATGAAATTCTAAAGCTGCATGAAAATACAATGATCAGGGTAATAGTTGTCTGCTTTGCGGGCAGGAGGCACAATGTGCTGGCCATATATGTATAGAAAGTATAGAAATCAACATTACTTATCTCTTCAGTGTCAGATTGTGTCCCCCCCCCACCCCTTGTCTCCTCACCCCAAAGAAATCAATGATGATTATTAATCCATGAATGAAATACATTATATTCAGAATGACTTTTGTCTAACAAAAATAGCTCATTACATGTATGTACAAGTATTTATATGCATTTAAAAGACATATTTTTTAACAAGAGATGTTTGTAAAACACTTATGCCCCCCTCCCCCCAAATTGGATTTTTCCTAAGTCCAAAAGTGCATAACTCTGTCTAAAATGGTGCAATCGTACCCAAAACAAAACTTGACTTAGATATTCAGCTGAAAAATCTGTATACTAAATTTTATTTCATTATGTGCAACCTCTGCAAAGAAAATGAACGGAAACTGCAAATAATTGGAATTTTTCTAAGTCAAAGGGGCATAACTCTGACAAAAAGGTTGTGATCGAACCCAAAACAGAACTTGTCCTAGATATTCAGCTGAAACATCCGTATACTAAATTTCATTTGAATATGTGCAACCTCTGCAAAGAAAATGAATGGAAACGGCAAATAAGTGGAATTTTTATAAGTCCAAGGGGCATAACTCTATCAAAAAAGGTGCGATCAAACCCAAAACAGAACTCGACCTAGATATTCAGCTGAAACATCTGTATACTAAATTTCATTTCAATATGTGCAACCTCTGCAAAGAAAATGAACGGAAACTGCAAATAAATGGAATTTTTCTAAGTCCAAGGGGCATAACTCTGTCAAAAATGGTGTGATCGTACCCAAAACAGAACTTGACCTAGATATTTACCTGATAAACCTGTATACCAAATTTCATTTCAGTATATGCAGCGGTTGTAAAGAAAATGAACGGAAACTAAATGGACCGACAGACCGACCGACCGACAGACCGACGGAAAGCAGCAAAGCAATATGCCCTCCCTTCTTCGAAGGGGGGCATAAAAATATTTTTATATGTAAACTCACCTTTATACTGTCATAGATAACCCTCTGTGACAACCTCTGGGTCTGACCAGATTCTTCGTGTTCCAGTTTATCAAAGTGTTCCAGAATCATGTTGAACATCAGTTTGTAGGCAGTGTCACTCTTTGGGTCTGATTCATCATGTCCCATCACAAACTGCTCCCCATTTTTCCTTCAAAATTGAATGTCATAGTTAGTTTTAACAATCTCTTGCACCAATTATTTTGCTTCATGTATATCTAATGTAATTAAAAGTGATGAATTTTTACTGCTGAAAAAGAGATCACAGGTAACAACAGTCTAAGAACCACAGAAAATTTGAAAATGCACAAAAAATGAAATAAAAGCTAAAACTAATATGTTCTCTGTGTTTATAAAATTGTCTACATGCCAAAGGTGTACTGGATTTAATTAACCAATTTATGCAAAACCTGAATAACACTTCCTGTTACATCATGTTATGTTTTAGTACACTATTTATGGCACAAGGACTTAAGTTCAATTTAATCATTTTCTATTTTAGTATCATTCTGTGTTCAATAACCCTTCATAATATGCAAATAATTTTCCTCAGTTTTAACACGATTCGTAAAAGGAATGTGTCTGCCATTTTTGTTTGGAGAATTGCTATACCTGCCTCCCACCCTATATAAAGGGCAGGACTTTGTCACTGTTCAGTGTAATCAGTCGACACCGGTATAGAACGGAAGTATATGCTATACAGCACTCGGTTACAACAATAATAATACTTCGTCTAATGCAGGAAAGTAAGATACCAAAGAAACTTACAATTATAGTTGTACAGGTCAGTGCAGTATACAAACAACACAGATACACGTAACTGCAATAATATGTAAACAAAGATAATGCAAGATAACCAGCATGAACACGGGTTGCCATTCCACGCCAATACCTGTGACAATAAAGCGGTCAGGTGTGACAAATCTGAAGAGTATACCCTGGTGTTGATGTATCGTATATATAATGATATCGAAAATGGTGTATGCCTATTTACAAGTCATGTTCAGCTTTAAGCAGAGAAGATTTTCAATGAAATAATGCATTTTCACTATACAATCTATTTAGCCCTGTCCTAGCACTAGAACCCCTGACCCTGGGGCCATGAATTTCACAATTTTGGTAGAGGACTCAATGCAGATTACAATCATCCCAACAGTTTGACTGCTTAATGTCCAGGAGTAGAGAAGAAAATTTTTAAATATTGCATTAATTTTAGTAGTTTTGATCCCACTCCTCAGGCCCCATTGGGGCAGGGACCATGAAATTCACAATTTTTGTTCCCCCTCACTCATAGATGCTTTGTGCCAAAATTGGGTGATATTGGCTCAATGGTTGCAGAGAAGAAGCTGAAAATGTTCAAATGTTAACATGACGGACAATGGACGACACACAACGACGAACAAAAACAGATTGCAATAGGTCACCTGAGTTTACTCAGGTGACCTAATGAAAAATAATAAGCCTGAATATCATTGCTATCATGAAAATTAAATTACCATTCCTCAGAATCGAACAGATCCTTGCAGTTCAAACGGGTTTCCCAAATGTGTTCATCAGCTAACTTGTAGATGTCCTGCCAGCGCTCTCTGAATTTCTGATTATCTAAGCAGTAGCTAAAGACGTCAGGCAAGGGTACTTCACTAGGGATCTCCATTTTGATATTCAGATGATTATATTCCTAAAACATAAATGGTCTACATGTATATATACATATATATATATACAATGTGTAAATGAATTGATACCAACCATTAGAGCCAATAGAAATGATAGAATGAAAATAAGGTGAAGGGGTGGATGAAAGAAGATAGGGATGGGAGGTGGGGAGGGTCAGGCAGCAAAATATGTATGCAAAATATAACACAATTAATTTCTTCTCATTTAGGCCTATAGCCTGCTTTTATTATTTCTTTTATTACTTTACACAATATTATTGCAGAAAATAAAATTAATGTACAAACTGAAAGACTTACAACACTCTACCCCTTCCCCCACCCCTAGCTTTCCTTCCCTAGGCTTTGTATATATCCCTACAAAATGTGTCAAAATAATCGTAAATTTTACATAAATGGGTTAATAGTGTAAGGTCAGGAAAATAAGTAAAAGGGAAAAAGATGTAGCAACACCCCAACCTAGCTACCCCTCTGTCCTCAGCAGTGATGCCTGATGGATCCAGGAATCTTCAAAAAGAGAGCGGTGGCCAGTTTGGAGTCTGGTTTGTGGCCCACAACCACGCCAAAAGAATTGATTTATTAAATCTTGTGTATAATTTAGACACAAAGGGGGAGGGGGTGCCACCCCCCCCCCCCCAACCCCTCTTAATCCGCCTGTGCTCAGCTCTATCATAATTTATAACACTTTGGATGTATTATCTACTCTATCACTATTGAAATTTGCATACAGAACACTCTAGCTAAGCTAATTATTTATTCGTGTTATTTTTTAAAATGACCTAATTTTTCTTTCCAGACAAAATTAACAACACATTCTTGATCACATTTAGTGATGACAATGAACACGTTATCACTATCATTACGTTATCATAATAAATTGTTTATTTCATATAAATACCCGATATAATCCTGAGTCCTCTATATTGACTAGACTTAATATTTGAAACAATACTTACAGTCTCATGTCAATGGTTAACCGAGTTCCGCGTTTCTCTCGGAAATGAGAATATTAAAATATTGACCTCGGCATTTCCAGTCCATTTTCCGAAAACGTTTGTTTACATTTCTATACTGTCCTATGATAAATCCAGAGAGTAAGAATTCGGAACTCTTCTAGACAGGTGCGCGGATCTAAGGATTTTTTATGTCATATTTATTTTACACAACCCATTTTTTATATACATATATCTTTAAAGACAGCAAATTTCGATGCAATAATCAATACCAAGAGACATAAATGAAGGTTAATCATCGAAAGATCAGGAAACCGTAGGAAAGAAGGGAGGGATGAGGTGGGTAGGTGGTGGGTAGTTAAAAAACAATATAAACATGTCCTTTTCGTCCTTCAAAAATAAATATATAAATTGATGATTTTAAAAAACGCGGAATATGTGAGAAAAATGAAGCCGAACCAAATTTACGATTGAATGGCGTTTTTTTTTTTTTTGTTTGTTTGTTTGTTTGTTTGGTTGGTTGGTTTTTTTTTTCTTTTGTTTTTTTTTAGATTGTAGATTATTGAAATGCGCATTCAGTATTTAAGAATAGAAGCATAAACAGTTAAAAATACCATGCTGACAGAACGTTTTATGATGTTCTAGTGCTGCAACGCTTGAAAAAAAGGAGTTTGGTCGTTTATATTCAATCATATATATATATATATAAAACTTTGAAGTACGAATGTAAAAAAATTTTTTAAAAAATTAAAATGCTAGAAGTTGCCCTTACCATTATGCTTTTTGTACAGCAACAACCAATATCAAGCATGGATTTCTAATAGAGATCCTTCCAATAAGGTTTATACCATGGAAATCCCGTTTGAAGACATTGTTGCCCACATCTTTGGGCCAACAGTATTAGTTGTCCTATATTTTTGGGATATATATTCGTACATTGTACTTATACATATATAAGGCTCTTCCTTTTGACCTAAAATTGTAGGTGAAAGTTCAGAAGTGAAGTGTACAAGTGACTCAGAATTACTATGAATCAATCTTTACAGAAAGTTCTCTGTACAAGGAAGGAAGTAGTTTAATTGTGGATAAAAGATAAGTATTTGGAGTGTTCAAATATACAATTTCATGTAGTATTAAAGGGTGTCAGTGCCCCCCCCCCCCCCCCCCCCCGATTCCTTCTACCGCCAATAATAGTAATACGCATAGAATACGCATGTGTATGGAAATGTTCACGCACCTCCCTTTCAATGCAAAAAGTTAGTGGTGTTTGGTCTTTTTTCTGGGTCTGGTCAGAATTGTCTTTCCTTCAGACACTTAATCATAGCTTGTGAATTATTTTCCGGTTACCCTCCAGGCCACGCCCCTTTATTCAAAAGACATGACATCGAATTCCTCTTTTCTATATACATGTAAATCACTGTATATTACATATCGTTGTTTAAGGGGGATGTACGGCCACCTTTAGTGCAGTGAGAACAAAATGTAAACATTTCTTCAAATGGCTAAAGTACATTATATTTTGATCAAATTTTAAACCCTTATGATAAAGATACAATAAATATGCATAACTGAATGCATGTTGTGCATATATAATCTATACTTTTGCAGAAAAATGCTTTTGATATGCTCCTTAGAACTGCGCAGCTACAGAATTCAGCAGAGCCTTAAAAAATCCAAAAAAATACGCAAACTATGCATTAATGTTCTCTCTACAACCATTTGTTGAGAAAATGTCTAAATATTGCACTTTTAAAGGATAATTTTAAGTTCAAAACAAGGTATCGTTGTCTTCAAAAAGAGTGTAAAGAACCCTGAAAGTAGTTCATTGATAGCAGCACGTGGTCTATTTTTAGCACAGAATTTTGTTTTCCAGACCTCTTCTTAATATGGAGGGACATAACAATCTTTAAATGTAGAAGAGAGTCACAGTTGCAAAATATTTCAAATAATATGAACACTTTTAAAAGAGGAATTGTGTTATAGTGTGGCTTGAAGTAATTTATTGAGTATTATTATCGAACAGTTGTTCAATAGTGTACGTATTGAAATAAACTCTTTCAAAAATGAGCACCATCAAAGTTTAAAATTAAGAGTTTGTAAGTTTGCCACAGATAACTTATAATATCTATCAAAAGTTTAATTATCACCAATGAAACACAAAGAAATTAAACACATAAAATCGATATGAAAAACCTTGTGTTAGTATCAACTAGTAAGAGGGGTGATCAAAAAGTTCCCGAACTATCTCTATATCTACCAAACCACAATTTAGATTAGAAACAAATTTGGTGCACACTCTATAAATAGCATATGCTGAATAAAGTTTTGCTCACAATGTGAAAATGAAGTCATTATGCAGGTACTTGTGACGAAAAATGGTTGTCTTAGTGGAACTCATTCAACAAACGACTAAAATATTTATGGTATATCTTAAAATTGCCTTTGAAGTAACGTATAAGAATTTGTTCATAGTTTATTAATACAAATGACTTCGTAATAATTCAATCAATGATTGGATAGATCGTTTTAGTGAAGGAAGGCAGATGGTTGAATATGATACTTGTTATGTTGCCCGGTGAAAGCAAGTTTGAAAAGGGGTTTGTTTTTAATTAAGCAATATGCTATAAGCAATATGCTATCAAAGATCTCCAATTTACACTTTGAAAAATACTTGAATATTTCAACAATAATATAAGTATCAAATATCTAAGATATCGTTTACTTTTGATCACCCCCCCCCCCCCGTATACTCTGTCAAATAAACATTTACAATTTTCATTACAGCAGAGCAACATTTAAAAAGGAATAAAATCATTCAGAGTGGGTTAGAAGATTTAATGAATAATTTTTTTTTCTATTTGCCCATTTTGTCAAAATTACAATTTTACAGAGAAAAAAAGAAAAAAAATCAACATAATTAAATATTTTAATTATACCATCTTTGAAATGACGTTTGTTGGACCTCCCAACTCAGGGAAAATTATTGGGTCCGTATTTATGGTGAGGAAAAAAATCCTTAAAATTTAAACATATTTGTTGACGGAAGAAAAAAAATATCCTGTAATTGGATGTAAAATAAAATTGAGTCGGGCCATTTCTAGGCAGTAGATCGGGAGAGAGGGCAAGCAAATATTTTTATAACAAGTGGTCTTATAAGGCTAGCACATGTTCCATCACATACTTAGTAATGCAAAATTTTTTAATCTTTGGTACTATTTTGAAAAAAAAAACATAGGATTTTCGGAAGGGGGGGGGGTAGTCTCTCATTTTTTTGCGATGATAGACATAGCATATGCAATGGACCTTTGTTTGCAAACATTGCGATTGCTTCTAAATTTCAAAGAAACAACTCAATATATTTTATCAAGCTTTGTATGTTCAATAAGTGAGAGCTTACAACGTAGTCAACATAATGAGACATGATGCGTTTTTATGTCCAAACATTACTCCATACAATGTGTTGGTCATTGCAAACAATCAAGCTATTTACATGAGGTGCCTGAAGGAAATACTTTAACTGCCTATTTTTTCTATCTAACTGCTAAACAAAGTAGACATATGTACCAACTTTTCGAATGTAAGACATGTAATTGCAATTTCTTTTTCTTGCACCGCATATTGTTTAACATTTTCAAATTAAATGCTAAGCATCCTCCTTGCAGTGCCCCATTTCAAAATAACTTCTATCGCCACAGAAAAAAGACCCGACGTAAACACATATGTTTAGGGCATTTTTTAGCTTTTTTCTTGAGTTTTAAAGAAACCAACAAATTATCAAGACTTGTTTTGCGAAAAATTAAATATAATCATCGTAATAAACGCATCTATCCACAGCAGATATATGCACATGCCAACCACGTGCTCAGTGTAATAATATTTGCTAGGAAACTCGAGCTGCGAACAGAACAGTTTTTCCCGATTTGCTAAAGTGGGGTTAAAATCGCGTTTTTTCATTAATCAGACGAAGCGAAGCAACAAATAAAAGTAGTAAGTAATATTACCTAATGATTATAACTTAGTAATGTCTTGTCTTGATGGTATTATGGTCGCATTTATTCTAAAATCAATGTTATTCGAACTCTGTGTGACAGAGGAATGGCGGACGAAATAAACACATGGCCTCAGGAAGACACACATATGAAAAATCTAATTTTCAAGAATTTTAGAAAATGACAAGAAAAAAGCGAAACAAATGGTTGTAGCCATATTATCAATGAATCAAACTAATACCATTTTCAATGCATTTTTCATCTCGTGAATGCTGTAGCTGCGCAGTTCTACCATGATTAATTTCCTCCTAATTAAAACAAAATAAACTTAATTATTCACTAATTTTGGTCTCTAACAGTAGGTAACTAGTGCATTAACACTTTGGGTAACTTTGGGCTAGTTTAGATGAGTATTAAGCGCATTCTTGGCATTTCTTATTTCATACCAGACTAGATCCAATTGGCTTGTACATCCCCCTTAACTCTAGAAAGTTTACTTAGAGTAAGCTTTCTTTTTCGTCCATATTTTGAAGAAGACCATTGTCAACCATGGCCATTCGTTTTCTTCTACATTTGGGGGGGGGGGGGGGTAAAATAAGAATTTTGGATAGAGTGACTAGTTAAATTTCATCATTTATGAGACAAAAGATGGGATTTTTTCCCCTTAAAAACCACTGTTGAATTAGAACATATCGTGAAATAGGAGATATCTCAATCTTTCTTTTTGAAAGTGACGAAGAAAAATTAAGTAAAATTGACCTTTTCGTTTATATTAGCCCTTTGTCCCTATGCTTTTCGAGATTTTTTATCCAACAATCTAAAAGATGTTTTGGTCTTGTCTTTAAATAAATCACATTGTTGGAACATAAGTCTTTATGTGTGTACAGTAGAGGTTGTACGAGACCATGCAGGGCTTCATGGCTTTAGCATGTTAGCTTGAATTTTTTTCTCAGGGCTTTTGCTGAACGACTGCAAATTAATAAGAAACAAGCCAATATACTGATGGATTCGATCAATATTTATTAAACGATATGCAATATACAGAATGATAATGTTCCAGTTTATAACATAAATTAACCCCTATTCCTTCCATATTTAATACTAGTTTTAAGGATTCCAATAAGTTTTGGTAACAAAAACCTAAACATATAAATTATACCTGTATACTTGTTCATGGACTCCACAATTTGGGTTATGGGCATCAT